TGCTCATAAATTTAAGTTTGTGACCATTAGTTTCAAGCCCTGCTTTTCAGCCTGCGCAAAGTTGATATGACACAACAGAAAAACATCAGCCATTGCCATCGGTGAATTCCATCTTATTTGCTGATAGGTCGATGGCAGTTACCAAGACGAATATCAGCAGATATTACCAATGTTCAGCCAATAAATCTGTGCATCCTTATTTCAAACCATGTGCAGCATGGTGCAGCACGGGAAACAGTCACAATTTGTTCCGGTCCGTCTAAATAAGTGAATAAAATTTGTCGCTAGTCGTTTTATTAGAAATAACGTCAACTGCTGAAAAGTCATAAACGAGGGGAGGTGAAAAGAGTCTGTATTTGATGACCTGGGAATGAGAATAGGCTGCAACTGCTGTGACAATAGTTAGTTACCGTCACAGTTACTGTGCAGCTGTGTGCACAACGTGAAAAATCGTGTGGCGCATGCATGTAAATTTGATCAGCACAGGATCTGCTATATTGGAGACTGACTGGCTCGTCACCAGTCATGGCCAATCAAGCTTTAAACTGGACAATTCCGGTCACCAGCCAACCACTGGGTACACCTCTAGTTGTGACAGCAGCTGGAAAGTCTTTCCGCACAAAAAGTGAATGAGACTCATCTGTGGCATTTTTTTCCTTGATCTGGGACACTGTTTGTCTGCTGACAAGTTAGCCAGCCCTGCAAAGCCAGTTAAAATACTGAGATCTCAAAGCTTGGCAATAGGTGGAAAAGTCAACATCCAGATAATATGTCCAGATGTAAATCACGTTAATACCAACCATAAATGGGCCAAAAGTTACCACGAACATCAATGTAATATTTGATAAAGTCAACCCTGAAACAATCTCACCTCTGTTTTTAAACCTTTCCTACCCTTGCAAATACTGTGGTTCCACCCATCCAGGTATTCTACATGAATCCACGCTACATACTTTTTATTCACCTGGTGGTCAACGACATGATCCAAGTGATACTGACTGTCATCCTGTTTGTCATCAGCTACACCATCTACAAAATAAATGTCTCCATCTGCTGCATCTTCATCCTGATTGCTCTTTTCACCACTGAAAACACCCCTCTGAACCTGGCCTGCATGGCGGTGGAGTGCTACATCGCCATCTGTCTCCCCATTCGCCAAGTGCAGCTCTGTACAGTCAAGAGAACCTTGATGCTGATTGGTTTAATCTGGGCTACTAGCACATTGTCTGTTATCTCTGATCTCTTCATCACTTTGGCCACAGAGCCACTGGACTTCTTTCTCTCCAGAGTCTTCTGCCTGAGACAAACTGTCTTTCCAAATCCCCTCATCATCAAGAAGAGAGATATCACATATTCAGTGTTTCTAGTTCTGGTTTGGGTCACTATCTTTTACACTTACTTCAGAATTCTGTTCACTGCACAAACTGCTAGCAAAGATGCTAAAAAAGCCAGAAACACAATCATCCTCCATGGGTTTCAGCTGCTGCTTTGTATGATGACATATGTGGCCCCCCAGTTATTAACTGTCCTGAGGGGATGGTTCCCGAAGAATTACAATGACTACCTCTTCACTTACTATATTATTGTACAGGTCCTGCCTCGATCCATCAGTCCAATCATCTATGGCATACGAGACAAAACTTTCAGGAATTATTTGAAAAGGTATCTGTGTAGAGTCAGTATACAGTAAAACTTCACTGAGAAGGTCTCTTCAATTAAAGTGAAAGAAAAAGGAAACAACACGACTTCAGGCTTTATCCTCTTCCAATCTTTCCTCCCAAGTAACACGTAGACAGTGTAAAACACATAGCTGTTACACACCTGTGTAATTAAATACTTATAAAACTACATGTGCGAGATCCAGATATCAGTGAAGTCAAGTTACATTTATTGTTCATCAAGTGTTGGCCACTTCACTATACAAGACAGAAAATATCATTTGGTCAAAATTGAGTGATGACATAAATTCCTTGCAAATAGAAGTAGTGAAAGACTTACAATCGTATCGTACAAGAATGGGATGTACGGATGTATAAACAACCCAAAAACATAATGCCTCTGGCTATGGCTATTGCCAGCGCAAAGGCATAGAAAAATACATGAATTTTCTTGGAAACAAACATTCTAAAGAAATTTGATCTCCTTTATGGCGCATGCTCGGCTCACAGCCTGTCAGACTCTAGTGGCTCCAATAATGTATTTATAAACATAATATTGTGTTAATCACATTGTCATATGGCTTATTATTAATTATTTAATTATTATTATTAATGCAATACAAGTTAGATTTAGCACCATGATGCTGTCAGCACAGACTGTTGATGTAGGCTACTTTTTCATTTGCCAGAATGTGTCACAATGACAAACTCCAGTTAAGTCAATTTTCTTAAAATCAAATCGGTTTGAGTTCATACACCAGACCAGCAAAACCAGGAATCGACCCAACTCTAATGTGGCAAACACCATCACGTACTGCTCTGCCCCTGTAATTCACTTGACTTCCTCAACTGCAGTTATTAGGTTATATGGTTTAGGGCTGGGCGGCTGGGTGGCATGACAAAATCACGTTTTTTTGTTTTTTTGTTTTAAATCACATCAGTTTTACAGTATTTGATGGGATTTTGCTCAGGTTCAGCCCACTTGACATGCTGCTGTGTTGTGGCCTATTCAAGTGCTGGAACTTGTTATTTATGTGACAACAATTGAACACAACACAGGCTCCGCTCCATTACAGTAGTAGTGCCATACTCGGTTATAACTGTCTCGGACTCGGGTCGGCTTCTGTCATGAAAATGTGGCCCGAGCCGTGCTCTAGTGTGCTCACCTGTGTGTGTGTGTGTGTGTGTGTGTGTGTGAGCGTGCGCATCGGGGCAAAACTCTGCCATGCCCAATACAGAGAGCAGAGGATAATTGACCTATGGCTTAGTCCCACCCTCAAACGTGATGAGCCAATCACGGTGCGTATAGCCATTCCCATACACTCGGACATTCTCTGCCTGGGCGTCCATTGAAATGCATTACAGGAAGTCAGTTTCGTTCGGTTTTATGAGTTTTTTCTGAGATTTGAAGTTTAAAAATGGTCAAACAGTGTGCATGGGGTACATGCAACTCTGACACAAGGTATCCTGAGAGGCTGGGAGACCAGGTGTATTTTTACACTTTAAACCACATCTCAACCGAGGAAAGTGTCTCCTTTGGATAAAGTTGTGTGGTAACATTAGACCACAACATCAACTCAACGTGAATAAGATTAACAATGATGTCTACATCTGTTCTAAGGTAAGTCAACATTGTGTTTGAGGCAACATATTGTCACTTTGCTGGAAAGAAATATAAAGTTATCTTTAACATCTCTAGCTAACGTTAGCTAAAGTTAGCCTAACGTTAGCTCCTAGCTGCGTTGTTCATCATGCCACCTTGTTTGCTGGGAGTTCATTAGCCTATTTTGTTCTAGTTTTGTACTTTGGTGATCGTACATCATTGTTAGCTGTTGTCCAAAGGGCTCTAGTTAAGCTAACGTTAACTTCTGGAGCTTAGCTTCATTAATTTATCTGTAATGGCAGAGATAACAAAGGTTGGCAAACGTTACGCTGAATGATTGAGTGTAAATACTGTAGCACCAAACTAACGGAGAGACACTCTTGGTAAAGATGGTAAAAAGGCCGTTATCCTTTTCTCATATTCTGAGCCAAAAACCTTAACTTCAGTGGCACTTTAACTTGTTGTCTTTGATGATGACGGCAACGAGATGTGGTTCACAAGCGTACACTGGGACCTGTAAATTTTGGCTTGTAATTTAAGCTTTTCATCGACCTTCTCAACAATACAATGATGAATATATCCCTCCAATGCGTAGTTTAGGCCCTTTTGGTTTCTTCTCAATGACATCTGATCATTACGTCCCCAAAAAACATCATTTGCCTCCTGAGAAATGCTGTGTATTGTGACATCTGCCATAGCGCCGGTCACTGAATGTGGATAGTTTGTCCGAGTGAGTGGAGGGGGGCGTGGCTTAGCCATAGGTCAATTGTAAACAGCGGTGTGCCGCTGCTAGCTGCATATAGGGGAAACACTGCTCTTTTTGGTATGAGTTCTTCTGGGTCATCGTGTTCTTCTTCAGCAATGTGTATAGTTGCTTCGCTTTCAGGACTCTCTTTAGTAGCTATTCTCGCCTCTAAACTTTCCTCTATGCTCTCACTCTAACCGGTTCTAGCACGCCTGTGGTGTGCAGCGGTGAAATGGGTCCCCACTGAAACACTTTCCCGCCACGCACGTTCCGGACGTTGTTTTGGCTATTCCCCAGTATTGCGTTTTTTTCATATCATAATGAAAATAAATACCGGTTTTCGGTACAAACCAGTATACCGCCCAGCCCTAATACGGTTTAGTCTAAGTCTAAGTGCTCATGTGTGATCCTCTGATGTTGCAATCGTTCCTGTTCTGTTGCAGAGATCAAAAATAATGGAAATGACAGGATGATGACAGAGTTAAAAGTGATGGGTTGTTTCAAAACAGCAAATTGTTTTCTGCAGCAAGGAGTTTTTATTTTGGAATAGAAAAGATGTTCTTTGAGCTCATCAAGTTGTAAAATCATCTAATGTTGTCCACTGTGGTAAACTGTATACACATAGTAAAAGTAATAAACATACTAAATACGAGGCTTGATCTAAAATACAAACCACACATGCAAATAGTGTGGGTGTGGTTCAGGTCAGAAGCGTGCACATGAATCTGCTGTATAAATAAAACTATCCTGCAGTAGCTCTATCATATGAAGGCAGACTCATCTCCAGATCATAATTCACAAAGGTCAGTATTGATTTGTTTGCTTCACTTAACTTCTTCCAGAAAATCAGATTGTTTTAGCATGCACAGTTGTGAGAATGTTTGTTTTTAATGCTATATGTTACATAAACATATTTAATACAACAGTGATACATGCAATATTTTACCATCATATATTGTATGTTTTTTCCTTTTGAAGTTTATCTGCTGCTGACATGAATTTCACACCAGGGGAAAGCAACATGACAGGAGCTGTGAATTACAGGGACACATTTGTTATGGCTGTCTGCAAGAATGTGATCGTTGTTGTCCTCGGCATCTCAATCAACTACATCAATGCCACAATGGTCCACACATTCAACAAGCATCACGTATGTAAAATATTGTTCCTGCTTAGGGGAAAGTTAATTACTTAAACAAAAGAAAGAAATATTAGTGTATAGTGTTTTGAAGCTTTCTTTAATTTTTTATACCTGCTCCTCTTCCACACAGTTGGTTTTAAAGCTTATATAAATGTGTTCTTCTTATTCTATTTTTTTTTTTTAAATAGTCTTTGCATCACCAATTCATTTTCTAGCTCATGTAACCTGCCTTACAGTATGCATCTTTTTCTCCTACCAACTGGCTTAAATGTGTAAATGTGCATGTCTACTTGGACATAAAATAAACATGTTCATACTTGAATACCAAAGGCACTAAACATCAATTTAGTGGACATATAGCTTTGTTTGAACCCTCACTCGTCTAATTGAATAATAGTGTGCGAAGTTACAGAAGTACAGTCACCTTTTTTACCTTTTGGCTTCCTCATCTAGTGACTCTGTGCATAAAGTCTGCATGCAATGATGATAAAATATCACCTGCATGACAAGACCTCTAGTATCTAGTTGCTTACTTAATACAGGAATGTAAGAATGTATTTTTTCCACATTAATGCAATTACACATCATGTTACAGACAATTAATCCAACCATAAATAATTCTGTCACTACATTTAATAGCATGATCACAGTGGTTTAAAGCAGTGGTTGCTAATCTTTCTCCTTAAGGGACCCCTTTTCTATTACTGAGTAAACTGATGACCCCAACTATGTGAAATATTTCATGGGTAATTCATATTATATGCAATGTATAACAACAACAGTACAGAACACCTGATAAATGGTACAATCAGCCCAATTAATAAACATTATTATCATTTTTATTTTGTTTACTTAACAGGCTTCTTGTTTTTTTTTAAACAAATTCAGTGTTTTCTTCTCTCACTGGTGCTGGACCATTGCTTTATTAGCTCTCTGACTGTTTTAACTGTGTTCTACTTTAACGCAGATCAAGGCTGTTTAGCAGTAAGTGAAGGATCTAAGAATACAGCTTAAAAGTCCATTCTCATTGAGGGCGAATATCTGCGCGGATTATTCTCGCGGAAAAATATAAAAGCTGATTTCATGGGTTTTTATGGAAGTCTGCACACCGGGGCGGAAGTTTCGTATGGTGAAAAAAGTTTCCGCCCAGACTTTGACCCCCGTGGAATTCGCCGGCGGAACTACACAGCTGGGCCAGTGAAATCGTTTGTTTATAGTCGCGCAGACCCGGGAGAGTCCGAATCCAGTCAGGCAGGACAGTATGGGAGAAAGGTTGATAAAACTTGTTTCACAGCACCCCGTCCTTTTTGATAAAAGACAGGATGATTTTATGAACAACAAATTAAAGGACAATGTCTGGCAGTCCATTGTCCAGCTTGGTGGCTGCGGTAAGAGTGGTAAGTGCTAAAGAAAATTGATGCTGACGCTTGTTAAACATTAGCTCGCTAGCTCGCTGCTGCTGCTGCTGCTGCTGCTGCTACTGCTGCTACTCTCGTCCATGTTCACCCACACCCGTTCACACTGTGCAGACTCGGAACACAACAATGCAAAATTCCGCATCGCATCCGTACCGAGCCTGTGTGTATGGTTTAAATACGGAAAAGCGCTGCGCAAATATTTTGCAAATCCGTCCCACATTTCTGCATCACAGCAGTGAGAATGAACCTTAAATTTAGGTCTTCACTGTACCCTTGTCCTGTGAAATTTTTAAGTTTATTAAGTTTATATCTTAAATAATAACTGAAACTTTACAAATAAAAATCATATAATAATAATAATAATAGTTCTTATTAATTATTACTAATAATAACAATAAACTTTGTTTTCCTCACAGATAAATAAAATGCTGAGATACAGGCCAACTGTATACCTCTGGATTGGGAACCAGTGGTTTAAAGGAACAGTTCACCCCTAAATCACAAACAAATATTTTTCCTCTTTCCTGTGGTGTTTTTTATTAATTGAGATTGTTTTGGTGTGATGATGTTGGAGTGTCGGGAGATATCAGCCGTAGAGATGTCTGCCTTCTCTCCAATGTAAGAGCAATGCCTTTCTCCAGAAATGATTTTTGGAAAGAGATATTGCTGTATTTTCTTGGTGCTTCGAGCACCACAAGCCTTGTGCTATCTATCTACTTCCATTATACTGGAGTGAGTGCAGACATCTCTATGACACCAATATCTCTAACACTCGGCAACTCAAACCAAAACAATCTAAACTGATAAATAGCACTATAGGTAAGAGGAAAAATATTTGTTTTTGATTATAGAGTGAACTATCCCTTTAAGATAAATGTGAATGACACTTAAGTTGTACAAAACAAACACTGATGGCAGACAAGACGCTGAAGTCAATTAACAAAGGAGAGAAATACAAGTAATTACTGTTAAAAATATTTGTGTTGGTGTAAGAACATTCTTTTGATTAATGTGTCTGCAAAAAGAGATGTGTAATACACTTAAATCTAACCCTCGATTCTGCCTATTATTTCAGATATTCAAGATGAACCCTCGCTTTATCCTTTTCATCCACCTGGTGATCAACAACATCATCCAGCTGACGACCAGCATTAGCCTGTTCATCTTCACCTACACCTTCCACACCATCTACGTCTCCCTGTGCTGCCTCTTTATATTGCCGGCAATCTTTACCACTCAAAACACCCCTCTGAACTTAGCCTTTATGGCAGCAGAGTGCTACATTGCTGTCTGCATTCCTCTCCGCCACAGCTCCATATGTACAGTGAAAAGGACATATATTGTAATAGGAATAGTCTGGACAATGAGTTCACTGTCTGTCCTGCCAGATGTCTTCATCCTTTTGGCCACTGAACCTCCAGAGTTCTTAAATTCAAGAGTGTTCTGCGCAAGGGATACCGTGTTTAGGAGCACCTACAGTTTAAAGAAGAGGGATGCTTCCCACATATTGTTTCTGGTAGTGGTCTGGCTCACTTTGTTCTACACTTACTTCAGAATTTTGTTTGCGGCCAGAGCTGCTGATGCAGATGCCAAAAAGGCAAAAAACACAATCATCCTTCATGGCTTTCAGGTGCTGTTGTGTATGATGGTCTATGTGCAACCTATGTTAAGGCAAATGCTCATATACTTGTTCCCAGGAGGTGTAGCAGCCATTAACTTTGTTGTCTTTATCATAAACCAAATCCTCCCTCGCTTTGTTAGACCTATTGTCTATGGGTTACGAGACAAGACTTTCAGGAAGTACATTAAAAAGTATCTGTGTACAGTGTACAGCCATCCAAAGATGCCACATCACAAAAACTAATGTTTCTCCTCGTGCTGTTGGTGAGTGAAAGTCAGACTTTTGTTGTATCCACATTAAAAAATGTATGACACAGATTTTTTTTTTAAAAAACAGAGAGAGAAAAAAAAAAGACTAACACTTTTGAGCAATTATGAAAGCCTGCTAAGAACACAAGAGTTTTGTCCTGTTTTAAAATGTGGTTGCATCATACAAACGAGGAGATTATTTGCAGATTATTAGATCTTGAATACAGAGCACTAACGCCAGGGCCACACTGCCTGCGCAGTGCACCGAAATTGTCGCGCGAGCCGGAGCACCTCCGTTCACATCAGACGCGCATTTCTCCACGCCGGTTGACAAGCGATTCTGCTCCCAGCTGTTGTTTTTCCATCATGGGTAACTGCCCGGCTTGACACATTCGCTCGCGGCTCACAAAGAAAATAGACCAGACGCCGAAATGATCGCTGCAGGGCCGGCAGCAGAGCTGAACAACACAGCCGGTGTGGATGACACAATCGGTTAACATGGGCGGCGAAAGGAAACTGGCTTCACTTCTCGACGCTTCGAGGCTATTCGCGGCGCTTCCGCGGGCGGTGTGGCCCTGGCACATTATAAAACTAGTAGAACCTACCATTGACATTTTTTTGTCATAATTAGCATGGCTCACGATTTGACTCTGAAGCAGAGGGCAACGATTCCATTATTAAATCATTAGCAATGCATCTCTATGCTTCATTTTTTTTTAAAATTCTATACATGATTTATTTCTCCTCACTGTGTGACTTTTAAAACGTAGTTAAGGTATTTGTAATGACCCATAATTAAATTAAAAGATTAATTTACTTGCACACAGTTTGGCTCCCTTTTCCCTTCAGCCTCACAGGAGCCAAAATGCTTCTTTACTCAAGTCTTTAAACTGGGGGGGCAGTCAGATTGCATCATTGGTTAGTCTACAGTATCTCACACCAACCCACTGTGGGATATTTATGCCAGTGTATTATCCAGTGTTTGCATACTTTAATATTTCACTGGACATAGTATGCAATTCGTGTAAGTGTAAAAGTGTAAAAATATGCTTCAGGCTACACAGCCTTTGTTAATTAAAATATAAGATTTCTGAGCTAGTTAACAATTAGCCATAACAAACACAAGGTTTGAGCACATGGTGATTCAAAAGTGTACCAAGTATCTGAACACCCTGGGCCAGAGAATGTTGATCAACTTTGTGGTCATATCATTAGATCTGCGGCCGTATGTCTTGGACACTCTGGGTAAGGAGAGAAGCCTGGGAGGCTGCTGGCCAGACCTGGTTAAACCCATGTGTAATAGAGTGAATTCAAAAAGTCTGCCAGGTCTTCAACTTCCACCTGCCGAAGAATTTCTGGTGCACCCCAGGGGAGGATGGGCACATGGAATCTGAGTGGACCATGTTCAAAACTTCCACTGTGGAGACAGCCTTTTGGAGTTGCTGTTGGAAAGTTGTTAGTGCCTGCAGGCAACTTAACAATCCACTAGTGGACAGCAGAGGTGAAGGAGGCCTTCAAACTGAAGAACCAGGCCTCGGGCTTGGTTGGCCCAGGGGTCTCATGAATAGACAGACAGGTTATCGGGAAGCCAGACGGGCTGGGCCCTGACAGTCACAAAAGCAAAAGCCAGTTACGGGAGGGGATCAGGGAGGCTTTGAAGAGGGACTTCTGGCAAGGAAGATCTCACAAACCAAGATACAACTCAGCATGAACAAAGCGCTGCTCTGAGAGTCCAACAGCTCTCACTGATTCTTCTGAGGCAGCTACAGTAACACTACAACATATTTCAACAAACATGCAATTAATGGCAACAAAGGACATGGGGAAATAACTGCAAGTCACAAACAATTGCTGCAAGATGGTTTGTTTATACATCAAAACATAGGCCTGTGTTGTCCTCATTCCATATATCAATGTTGATAAACGTTTTATTGAATAAAAATAACCATTACCATTGATCCATTGATCTGATTTATTGGTCTCAGCATGGCCTCATGCAAAACAGCGCTTACTGCCTATACACTGGGGCAACTTTGTGGCCATGCTTCTCCAGTCCACATCTATTCATATCTATGTGCACTTTGCATCCCTCTCTTTTTGTTTTGGCAATAATATCATGTATTGTTTTTCTTAAAGATATATCATATGTAGGAAATTTCAATATTGCCCAACTCTAATGTTCAAACAAGTTTTGTTCTTGTTTGACTGACAGGTCATCGTCCAGTCACCTTACATTCTCTGACATGAAGCAGGTCTCATGCATCATCCTGCTCCATATAAAGCCATCAAACAGATTTCAGTCTCATTTCATGACTGATGAAAGTGGACACTGGAATAAATTGTCCAAGGTAGGAAAGACTGTGGCGCTATCACACTGTGTTACTGCAGCATTATATTACAATGTTTGTTTGTGTTTTACAGTATTGCAATTCTTTTGAATGGTATGGGCATATGCTGAAGCACAGCAGTTTCTTTTCTAACTAAACTGAGCAAATCTTCAATGCAATTTAATACATGGTAAAAACAATGCCTTTTAAAAACTGGAAAACAGTTCATCTGAAAAGAAAAAATATTTAATATCTATATATTTAAAAGTTATCAATCAGCATAATATTATATTGATATTTATTTATTTATGTAGCATCTGTTGATACTTTGAACTTGTTAGAAACTGGTGTATATAGAAAAGCAAATAACATTTTCCTTTTCTCTTTCACATAAATGATCTCTTGCGTGTTGGGAAAGTGTGACAGTCTCATTATGAGATAATCTACTCTGCTTATATTTCCTCTTTCAAAGTAAAGCATATTATCATTGTAAAACATTTAAATATTACAGTCTCATTTCATGACTGATGAAAGTGGACACTGGAGTAAACTATACAAGGTAGGAAAGACCTTGATGCTATCACACCGTGTTACTGCATTATTATAATATGATGTGTGTGTTGTTGTTTTTTACAGTATGGCAATCCTTTTGAACTACATGGGCATATGCTGAGCCCCAGTGATCACTTTTTTCCTAAATTGAGCATATCTTCAAAATTGTTTAACTATATGGTAAAGAGGATGTGTATGAACAAACACTTCATTTGAAAAAAAAACAAAAAACTTTAATTCCTACATTTTTTTAAAGTGATCATTTGGCATAACCTTATATTAATATTTATTTATCTGGCATTTGTTGATCTTTTTTTTAACCTTTTAAAAAAGGGGTGTATATAGAAAAGCAAATAATATTTTCCTTTTTCTTTCACTGAGACAGTTAGAATATTAGATAGTCTCATTCTGAAACTACTATGCCTAAATCTATATTGCCACTCTCTGTTTTTAAGTAAAGCATGTTATCAGTGCTGTAAAACATTTAGGGCCTACGCAAAAATTAGCAACGTATATAGACGAATGCTTTATCCAGAGAAAGTACAGATGAGTTCATGGTTGTATATTTACTTTATTCTCTGTGCATAATTCCTTGAATTGTTACCCAAGGTATTCCTGCAATCAT